TAAACCAGGACTAAACCAGGACTAAACCAGGACTAAACCAGGACTAAACCAGGACTAAACCAGGTAAACCAGGAAACTAAACCAGGACTAAACCAGGACTAAACCAGGACTAAACCAGGTCTAAACCAGGTCTAAAACCATCCTCGTCTTTGCTTCTCTACAGCAAATCAAGTAATCCAAAGTAATCAGATTACATTACTCACTTTAAATAACTTCATGGATTACGTTACAAACTACATTCTGGGCTATGTAATCTGTAATCTGTAATCTGTAATCTGTAGGGGATTACATTTTAAACTGTCCTCACGTGGACTCCACTTCCCATGATGCACCTGTGTCCGCGCTGCACGTGACCTCCACCTCTGGCCCTGTTTTTTTTTTTTTTTTTTCGTGTTTTTTTTTTTTTTTTTTTTTTTTTTCGTTTTTTTTTTTTTTTTTTTTGGAGATAAAACCGAGTCACTCACCGGAGGAAATGCTTCATGCTGCCTGTGGTTCCGCTCGGCTCCTTCCCGGGTCTGGTTCGGTTCTTGGTTCGGTCCCGGAGCTGCTCACCTGCGGGCAGAGGAGCAGAGGACACGGGGCTGAGAGCCGCGGCGCACGGGGAGGAGCACCGGGAGCTGTCCGCGGTACCGGGAGCTGTCCGCGGTACCGGAGCTGTCCGCGGTACCGGAGCTGTCCGCGGTACCGGCGGGGGAAACTCGTCTGTGCGCGTTTTCCGCCGCGGATGACCGAGCCCCGCGCCGCTGCAGCACCGATAATCCCGGGACCGCGCACGGACCCGGACGCGCCTCCCGTAAAAAAACAAAAACCCAAAACCCGCGACCGAACCGACACCGAAAAACGCTCCGTCCGTGTGTCTGGACCCGCGTGTCCGTGTCCGTGTCCGTGACGGGAAACGTACCTGCGGTGTAAATAAGGCCGATGTGCGCGCGCGGGCCGATGACGTGCACTGCTCCACGGACCGAGGCGGAGATACCGGGAGTGACCGCTGCACGCCACGGCGCTAGAGAGCCGCGCCGCTCCCGACACCACCGCATTTACACACCGCGAAAAAGAACCGGACAAAATATAAAATATAAAATATAAATCAAAACTAAAACCTGAAACAAAACGAAGATAAGAAATAAGAAAAACAGTGATTATGTTTCTGTTTTGAAGGGTTAGTTTATGGAACCTGAGTGATGAGTATAAAGTGTTACTGTCACATTGTATTACTACTGTTAATTATATTATTTATTTATTATTATTATTTTTCTTCTTCTGTGACATCTGATTTATTTGCACAAAAAGTAATACTACAATAAAATAAAAATAAATAAAGTGTTTTGTTATGGTCACATTGTATTACTACTGTTAATTATATTATTTATTTATTATTATTATCATTATTATTATTATTATTATTATTATTATTATTGTGTGACATCTGATTTATGTGCACAAAAAGTAATAAATAAAAAAATAAAAAAAATAAAGTGTTTTGTTTTGAAAGATATCGAGCTCTTGAATGAATAAATTATGCATTAAATTGAGTTTGTTTGAGTTTATATTTTGGCTCTGGTATGTACAGTTGTAAATTCAGATTTGTGGTTTATTCACAGTTTTCTTTTCTTTCTTGGATTCTGTCGTTGTTTAAAAGAGTTTTGTACTTTTGTTTCAGTTTGGACTCTTTCTTTCTGTCGTGATCCGTGAAGTTGTCGTCTGTTTGGTTTTTGTTTTGTAGTTTTGCTGCAAAACGACCAAATAAAAAGTAAAAACTCTGCTTAAGTCGTGGGCCAAACTAGATATTTACTGAAAAATTTCTGCAGGTTTTCTCTTCTTTGTAGATCTGTAATGTTAAATTTTTTTTAATTCAAATAAATGTTTAATAAAAGTTTTGCTTAATCCACAGGTGTCCAAACTTTTTTCATCAAGGGCCACAGATCTAAACGCAGACGAAGCAGAGGGACGATCGAGGCCGTAGACTGATGCTCAGTACTGGGAATAATTGAAACGTGCAGGTTTAACACGTTAGAATGAACCGTCTTTATTATTATAGATCCTTAAAACCACTAAACACTAAATATTAAATATTCGCTTTATCCAGGTAGATTCTTAAAAAATGTGCAGTAAAAATTTTTTTTTTTATTGACGCAAGGTAATTTGGGCCAATTCACCTGGAAATCTGAGGGCCAAGAAACATTTGTCTGAGGGCCGCATTTGGCCCTCGGGCCATAGTTTGGACATGCCTGATTTAAACATTGAATCCAGAAGAAACAGAATATAAAATAATAACAACATTTTAAATAAATCATGAGCAGCAGCAGCTCTAATACTTGTTTGATTTGATCTCACTGGACAAATATAATTATATCACGGGTCAAATTTGGCCCCCGGGCCTGAGTTTGACACGATCTAAACACTTAAATGTTCCTGCCCTCACCTCTGGTCATGACCCGAATTACCAGATCCACGATACAAGAGACACAGATGAGTTTCCTCCACAGGGCGTCAGGGCGTCTCCCTTAGAGACAAAGTGAGGAGCTCGGAGTAGAGCCGCTGCTCCTCCACGTGGACGAGTCCCTGCTCAGACTGATGCCCCCGGAAGAAGAAGAAGAAGAAAATGGATGAATGTTTTTGTCACTTTCTAATTTAAATCGAGTTGTTCTGGTGTTTGGATTTTCACTTTTTACATTCTCCACTAAAATGTTAAAGCTGCAGTGTGGAACTTTGTGGTGGAGGCTCCATCAAACGCTTTTCTCCATGTGTGAGATGTGGTTGGAATGTTCCACAGTACGGCATTAAACCCTTCTATCTCCATGGAGACTAAACCAGACACAGTTCCAGGTCAGATCTGTGGAGAGGCGACTCCGTTCACACTCACAATGTTTGTTTTTCTCGGGATTTTTGACTCTAAAACCTCCTGTGACTGAATAAATGTAAAGTAGATCTGTTTAAAGTCACTGTGGAACATTCCAGGACACAGAGCAGTGACGTCTCCATGGAAACAAGCAGGAGACAGACCCCCAACCATGAAGTTACACAGTGCAGCTTTAACTAACTTTAAACTAAAGTGTAAACACACACACACAAAAAAAAGACGCTACAGGTGGAATAAATATAAAAATTTAATCGGTAAAAAGTCATTTCATGTAAACAATTTTTACACCAAAAACAATCATTTCTATTTTTAGTTTTTGGCAGAAAAAGTAAAAAAAAAAAAAAAAAAAAAGTAAAAAAATCAGAATACATAAGAGCAGTAGTAATAACAGATACGCAGATTTGACCCTTGAATCATGTTACAGTACGAAGTAACAGCTTCTTTTTTCTTTTACAAACAAAATAATAATAAAAGTCTAACTAAAAAAATATAAAAAATACATTTATATAAAAGTGCTGTAACCATGGCAACGCTGCGGAAACAAGAGGACCAAGTGTAACGGAATTCCAGACGAGTAACTTTTTAAATCAAACAAAATTTTTCCAGCAGCGTTTTTTTTTTTTCCTTCTTCTTGGAGTTGACTCAAGTTACAATTCTAAATGTAAAACGTGTGGTTCTTCGTCGAGCCGTGAGGAAGACAAAATGAAATGTGCACCGATCAAGCTTTTTCAGATCCGATACCAGAGTCGATACTTTGGCTTTGAGGCTCTTCCGATGCCCGATTTTGAGCGACACCAGAGCGGAGACTAGGGTTCCCACTCTTTTTCACTGACAAAATTGCTAAAGTTTTCCATGAGTTTTCCATGACTTCAAGTGAATTTTCATGTGTAGAACTGATCAAACTTTTACGGCAAAATATGAAATGTCAAGATCGAGAGAAGAACAAAACTGCCACAAGATCTTGAGACAAAATTGCGTCAGGATCTCGAGAAGATGAAATCACCAAAAGATTTCACGAGACAAAATTGTCACAACATCTCGAAAAGACAAAATTGTCACAAGATCTTGAAAAGAAAAAACTGCCACAAGATCTCGAGACAAAATTGCGTCAGGATCTCGAGAAGACAAACTGCCAAAAGATCTCGAAATAACAAAATTGCCACAAGATCTCAACAAGACAAATTTACTACAAGATCTTGCGAGACAAAATTGCCACAAGATCTCGAAAAGTCAAAATTGCCAAAAGATCTTACAAAGACAAATTGTCACAAGATCTCGAGACAAAATTCCCACAAGATCTCGAGACAAAATTGTCACAAGATCTCGCTAAGACAAATTTGCCCCAAGTTCTCGAGAAAACTAAAATGCCACAAGATCTCAAGTGAAAAAATTGCCACAAGATCAAGACAAAATTGCATCAGGATCTCGAGAAGACAAAATTGACAAAAGACTTCACGAGACAAAACTGCCACAAGATCTCGAGACAAAATTGCGTCAGGATCTTGAGAAGACAAACTGCCAAAAGATCTCGAAATAACAAAATTGCCACAAGATCTCAACAAGACAAATTTACTACAAGATCTTGCGAGACAAAATTGCATCAGGATCTCGAGAAGACGAAATCACCAAAAGATTTCACTAGACAAAATTGCCACAAGATCTCGAGACAAAATTGTCTCAACATCTCGAGACAAAATTGTCACAAGATCTCAATAAGACAGATTTGCCAAAAGATCTCGAGAAAAACAAAAATGCCACAAGATCTTGAGACAAAATTGCGTCAGGATCTCGAACAGACAAAACTGCCAAAAGATCTTACAAAGACAAATTGTCACAAGATCTCAAGAAAACGAAACTGCCACAAGATCGTGAACACATGAAAAAAACGATCTTGTGACATTTTTTTCCACCTGAATTTCTAAAAAAAGTTTTAAGAGCTGGTGAGTCACACAGTTTGAGAAGCTGTAGTTCCAAAAAGCAGGACTACAGTGACCGTTTAAGGTTTTACATCTAAATAAATAGTGAAGCCAGAATTGTGAAATTAATTACTCTACTTATTTTTTACAAAGTCTGTCAGAATCTCGTCTTGTCTCAGTTATTTGGACACTTTGACTTGAGTTGTAGCAGCGTGTTTGGTTCCCTCCTCTGCACACAGATCCTCTCTTTGGTCTTCGTCACAAAGCGGCTACGGCGACGACGTGCTCCGAAGTGCCAGGGAGCAGCCGCTGGGGCCCCTGGAACCCGCCCGGTCCCTCGTCCCTGCCCTGGTCTGTCCTTTGGTCCGGTCCCTGGTCCGGTTCCTGGTCCGCGAGCGAGTACTGCGTCTCTCCGTCGGTCAGGGCGCTGTACGTCGGCACCGCGTTGAACATGACGAAACCCACGATGATGACGATGAAGGAGACGATGTACAGAGCGGAAAACTGGAGCGAAAAACAGAGAGAATTCAGGCCCAGAAATGTCAATCTCTACTCAACTAAAGGTAAAAAGGAGCCGTTAAAAGCACCGCTTCATGACATCACAAGGTGGAACAGAGCGTTTGGTGTTTTGTAGATGTAACAGACTCACAGAATAAAGATTTACTCAAACATGTGAATGAAACAAACACGACTCCAACTCTGTTTTTGAGGATAAAAAAAAAACCTTAAAGCTCACAGGAGTCGGTTTGTCTGATGCTGGAGCTTTAATCCATATTTCTTCATTGTCCTAAATTCAAATAAACAATAAATGAATAAATAATGAAACTACTGCACATCACAGCAGGTTTGTGAAGTTCAAGTGCACAGTTTTGTTTTGTCATGGGACGATCGATTCACATCAGCAGAGGTGTAGACAGACTGTTGGGTGTGTCCCGTCCAGACACACGGGGGATTTACTGTAGTTTCCGGACTATAAATCTTCTGAGTATAAGACGTGTAGATTTCAGAAAATAGGATCCATCCTGTTTTTTGAGACTCTATGTGAGCGTCGGCGCCGTGTCCCCGTCAAAAAACCACACAGAGCGTGAATCTTTGGTTGTATTTGTGCGTTTGTGTTCCTGGGGCAGATCTGTGTCGTGTGAAAGAGCCCAGGTCCACAAAGGCTGTTCATAAGAGGTTTAAAATGTCCTTTTGAAATGGTGAGTTTGGACAGAAGGTAAATACAAGTGTGTTCTGTTAGTTTCACTCTGGACCTGATACAAGCGACTAGAGCTGCGTTCAGATGCAACTGAAGTTTCCCAAATCTGATTTTTTGTCTCTATGTTCATGTATCTGATCTTTTCATGTCTGAACCACACAGATCTGATGTTTTCACATGTGACCAGGACACTTGGATCTGTGCTCCTGAAACTGATCCATATCTGATCTTTAACATGTGACTTGAGTGTGAACAGTCAGGTCACATTCATCCACCTACACGTCATCAACAAGACACAAACGTCACTATTCTGCACTGAAGTAGAGAAAACTGTTCATGATCCATGTGACTGAAGTGAAGCACATCATTTGTGATGTGTCGTCGAGTCTCCGCGGGTTTCAAATGAGCGCACAGGCTGCACTGAGACGCCCCACACGCTCCTGCACCCGCTACAAGTTTATTACCAACAGCAGCGGCCGGAATGAAACATGATCACACTTGTTGAGTGTCAAACCTCGAGTGAGAGACAAGACCGAGTCCAAACACGAGTCCGAGACAAGACACGGAGATCTACCCACACGACCTTGGAGATCGACGTATTGAGCACCACTGGTCTACATAATAATAACATTACAGAAATATAAAAGACACACAGAAAATCGTACGAACAAACACGTGTCACTCCCCTGAGCGAGTCGAGTCAGTGAGGACCTGAGTGTTTCTTTACACACTGACCGTGTAGTGGAAGAGGAAGAGTCCGCAGAAGAGGCTGAAGAGGTCAGCGGTGAGCAGGGACAGGTTCACCGCCGTCGCACTCGTCATCCTCACCACCACCGGCATGAAGCTGTACAGAGCGAACATGCAGAGGGCATAGAGCGCGAACAGGAGCGCTGCACACACACACACACACACACACACACACACACACACACACACACACACACACACACACACACACACACACACACACACACACACACACACACACACACACACACACCACACACACACACACACACACACACACACACACACACACACAACCACACACACACACACCACAACACACACACACACACACACACACACACACACACACACACACACACACACACACACACACACACACACACACACACACACACACACACACACACAACACACACACAACACACACACACACACACAACCACACACACACACACACACACACACACACACACACACACACACACACACACACACACACACACACACACACACACACACACACACACACACACACACACACACACACACACACACACACACACACACACACACACACACACACACACACACACACACACACACACACACACACACACACACACACACACACACACACACACACACACACACACACACACACACACACACACACACACAACACACACACACACACACAACACACACACACACACAACTACACACACACACACACACACACACACACACACACACACACACACACACACACACACACA